AGTGCAGCCTGTTGTGTGCAACCCACTCGACACGGGAAAACCACGGCTGCTGAAGCGCCGTACCACCAGCACGAGAGCCCACGAAGAGCGTGCTTGACTGTAGTCTACTCTCTCCGCAGAAGGTCAGGAGCAGAACGAAAGAACCGCTCGGCTCCGAAGCGAAAAGCTGAATATGCGCTGCATCTGCTGCCTACTTATACTCACGCTGTGATCAGCGGCAGCTGGATGCAATTATTGCATGCTAATGTGCATTGGCTCGTTTAGTTTACACTCGAAGTAGATTGGTCCCTCTAAGCGAGATCCCAATTCGTCGGTCATCCGACGTGACGTCGAGAGTGACCGACTGAAAGGGAACGTCTCGGTTACGTATGTAACCCTCGTTCCCTGAAGGAGGGAACGGAGACGTCACGTCCCGTCGCCACAGCTCTGTACCACCGCTGAGCGGCTGGGTCACCGGCTCAGTTCCTCAGCGAAAACCTGAATATGCGGTGCATCTGCTGCCTACTTATACTCACGCTGTGATCAGCAGCAGCTGGATGCAATAATCGCATGCCAATGTGCATTGGCTCGTTTAGTTTACACTCGAAGTAGATTGGTCTCTCTAAGCGAGATCCCAATTCGTCGGTCATCCGACGTGACGTCTCCGTTCCCTCCTTCAGGGAACGAGGGTTACCATACGTAACCGAGACGTTTTCTCATTCATATTTCCCATAAGGATTTTTAAAACATCTTTGTTAAAGAGTTACAAGTCATGAGCCAATCCAACCAGCTACAATGAGAAGCAGAAACTTTGACTTTGACTTTGAAAGGAAAAAGTTCAAGGTGAGATTTTCTGATTGGTGGAGATTTCTTTGCAGAATCATGTTTGAATTTTTCACCAGGAATTCTGCAGTTGAACACAATTATTTAAAAAAAATAATTCAGCAAAAGCATAAACCATAGATTAACAATCTCAGAGCTCTTCTGGGATGCATTGCACAGTATTTCAGAGCGGATTTGCTCGCTACAATATGCCCCACTGATAATAAGAATCATTTCAAACAAAGTTTTGGCTCTGACTCTTTTACCCATTTTGACTTGCTGTCATTTTTTTCCCCCTTTTGACATTAGTTGATTCCATGCTGTCCATGTTAAATACTAGCTAGCTTACTAGTCCAAATTCCATGCAACAACACTATTGTAGCTACAGTCCACACATGAGCCAGACTTTGTTTTCTTTATTTCCAGACATGACATAAACATCCAAGAACAAATGCAGTAAGCCTGGTTTCCACACCCAGTGACAGTACAGTACACAACAGTATTTTCCCACAAAATCTGACCCAACAGCTTCAAATGATAAATATAATATACCACAGAGAATCGGGATAAGGCAAGCATATAAATTTGAACAGGTATGTTTTTAATGTACTAGCTCAATCCTCCAGTACTGCTCCTGGAGGGTCACTATCCTGCAGGGTTTCTCTCCAACTTGTCCCAACAGACTTGCCTGGAAGTTTCAGATTGCCTGGATCCTGAAGACCTCGATTATCTTGGTTCAGATCTGTTTAAATGGAGTTAGAAATAAAGTCTGCAGGACAGTGGCCCTCTAGGAGCAGAAACGCACACCCCTGTACGAGCTCAATGATAGAATTTTGTTAATGTTTTAGGAAAACTTCTTCCATAGTGATGCTTTAATTAAGTAAATATATTAACTAAAAAAGTTAAGTTGCCATGATTCCAACTCTAAACTATATTTGCATCAATTACCCATGTAAATTAAAATGTCCTAAAACAAGATTAAGGCTACATTCACACTAATCAAGATATATTTGAACACAGTGTTTTCATTGCAAAACGATCTCCTTCCACATTAGCGTTTTAAGTGTTTTCCAAAAGTTGCTTGTCCACACTGATACATCTGAAACCACTTAAATCACCTTGCGGCATAAACGTTCACTGAGATGATACTGAGAGATAACACATAATAAAGTTCTCACACTATTCTCCTGGCACAATCATTTGTGGAATCAAATGGTAGAGAAAAAGATGCGTTTGATGTGGACATAGCCTAAGTATCAACAACTCACATATTAATGTAAACATCACATGAGCATTATTAGTGGTATATTTTGTTCCTGAAAGTTGTAAGTGGTTAGAAAAGGTAAACCAAAAACTTCAATAATCATTAGATCTAAAGATGTTATTTGTTCAGTGTACTGCAGTTCATTCTCTCAATGTTCAATAAAAAAAAATAAAAAATAAAATTCCAAACCAGAATATAATGCATTGCTGTTCTGCCTGCCCCAGTTTTTGTCGTCAAACAGAGCAACATTGTTTTGTTGATGGAAGAAGTTCCTTGTTTTAAGAGGTTTCCACAAGATTAATTTTATTATTCTTATTGTGTTACTGTTGGATCTAGACAGTAAAAACTTTTGGGTGTTTATTGTTCAAGCTACATCCAAAGTGGGAAAAGCAAGGATATAATTTATTTTTCCCTTTCCAGGCCCCAAATAACATTACATAATATACAGAACCAACTGAAAGGCTCTTTCAAAGTTTGGTATATCTTTACACGCATTAGAGTCAATCTATATACAGTAGACTATTCTATATGTCACATTATTTCATATATTCCACATACTGTGCGTCTTTTTTGTGTTGGCAAACATGGATGACAACGCCTGTTGTTTTGGATATACCAAGTCTATGTGGTTCAGTTTCAGACAAATTACCCTCGTACTTATATTTTGAGCCAGAAGGCTGCTCCACAGTATGCTATCCTTCAGTTTCAGAAAGATGATGTATAACTTCCTGTTTGTGTTTTAACATCCCCTTCTCCCAATCCTTCCAAGAATTCCCAAAATGTTTCATGCCTAAATTAATCCAGATGGAATTTAATGGAAGCCGCCCATGCATTTGACATGTCTGCTGAACCTTCGGGGTTAAGAACCTACCACTTAAACCTACACGCTTGGTGGTTAACATACCATGGCAATTTTTTATAACTTTCACATTTGGATATACATTGCCTAACATATAGCTGATGATTACGAAGTGCAGGCCAGATTTTCCCATATTGACTGGTTTATGCAGATATTCCACTGCCATAACCATAAAAGTGTCTCAATGGTTTGTAGATCTTGATCATGTTATTCCCCAGTTGTAAAACAGTGTAATCTAGACCACATCTGATATTAATGGCCTAATATAGTTTTAACAGTTCAGAAGCTGATAGTTTAATTCAACGGTCCTTTAAATGCATGCCTGGGTATGTATAATCCATATAGGTAATGTGTTCCTGCAGAATATTCCAAACAAACTGACCTCAAAGATTAATGGTTTGGGGCCTATTTAATGGCACACAACTTGGAACTCCATTGGTTTAAGTCTTGTAAAGGGTGACATCAACTTCATAAATTGATGTTGTGGATCAGGCCCGAATTGAAGCCATGTGGCCTTTTTTTTTCACTTAATTTCCAAAGCCACCAAACCACAGTGCAGAAGCAAAGACTAGGCTGATTAGAATGCAGTCCTGGTGCATGCTTCACTGAGTTCATAAAGTCCATCCTGCATAAAACACAGACATTGTGGAAAGAAGATCACCACACGCAGACTTTGTAACACTGAAATGTCACTGGACAGTCACAATTCTGTCTTCTGTCAGTGATGGCTTCATCAGTTAAAGCAGGGGTAAGTTTAGTTAACATTTTCTAATATTAGCCTTGATCCTGTTAGTGAATATTCACCCTCATATCAAAGTAACAGTGGCTATTTGGGATTCATCAAAGTTTATTTGAGTTTAACATGCTAAATCAAAACTATTCAAGAAAATGTACACAAAACACATAAAAAATGACAAGGTCTTGCTGATGGTTCAAGTGAAAACACTTGAACTAATTGTTTTTAATCAAGCGTACAACTTGGTAATCATTCTTCAGAATCAGATGTGTTTTGCAAGAGCTCCTTCCAGTTTATTTGTCCTCATTCTGCTAGAATGTAGTTTTTGACACTTTAATTCACCAGATCTTCCTGTCTATCATCTCTACAAGTGTGATCACAGCACTCTGCTTGGTCGAGTCTCACCAAAGAGGTGTCCAAGTCACTTCAATCAAAGGGGTACCTCAGGGTTCGGTATTTGGCCCCCTCCTTTACTCAATGGGTCCATGTTGTGCCATTATCCAGGAACATGAATTTCCCTACCACTGCTACAAAGAATGTAAGCAGCTCAACATCTTATTTTAGACAGAGGATCGCCAGAACACCACCACCCCTAAACTGAGCCCAGACAGATCTCCTTCCCTTCTCACCCAGCTCAGAAATTCATCACATCATCACTATTCAGCTAGGCTTATCAATGATAAGAGCATCCAGGTAAACCTAGAACTCATAAGAAGTGTTTGACAACAATTTGAATTTCACAACTAGAAATCTAGTTGAATAATGCAGTGCACTCTTAAAAGTAAAGTTTCTTTATTGGCATTGATGGTTCCATGAAGAACCTTTAACATCCATGGAAACTTTCAATTGCTCAAAAGGTTCCTTATAGTTGAAAAAGGCTCTATAGGTTTTTCAAAAGTAATTTTACACTAAGAAAAAAAATGGTTCTTTTAAGAACTGATCACTGGAAGGTTGCTTTGGGAAACAAAATGGTTTTTATATAGGGGCTTTCATACCGGGTAGTTCTAGGAACTTAGTTAAAGGAACTCGGCACGAGGGTGGTTCCCAAGAACTAAATATTCCCATAGGGCCATTTTCCTGGTTGCTTTTGCACCACCAGTAGGAACTCTGAAGTGATGTAAACCAGTCGTTTAAGCATGGCAAAAAACTCCTGTACACTGGAGAACAACATATGGATTATCATAAATTTACTTCAAATTTCTTTAGAGAAAAATATTACTTTATCTATTCTTACCCAAAATAGAGTGGCATGAGCTGTATGGAGCACTATAAACACATGTAATGTGTGTTTCATTCATACTCATAATCAGAGGGAGTCCTCGCGAAGAAACTCCAAATATGCCTCACAGAAATAATAGAACTTAGTATGTTCGGCTTTAAGCAGCGCTGTGCAGACCGATCAGTGTATGACATATCGCAAAAGTGATTTGAAACCATACAGAGCCATCTGCTCTCTATAGCTCTGGCAGTAGCCTACTTTGTAGTCATACACCGATCAGTCTGCACAGCGGCATTTCAAGTTGAACATTTTCAAGTCGAAATCACACCCTTTTCAATTTTATAATCGCACCAAGCCAAACTGCAATTTTTTCCTATTAATCGTGCAGCCCTAAATCAACCTACAGTACACTTACGTTACTAGTAGTTCCTATTGTGCTGGATTAGACCAAACTCTGAAGTAAAGGCATTCCTATAACTAAATTCATTTCCAGTTCCTGTGATGCGAACACACCAAAGAACAGTAACTTCTGGCATTAGTTCTAGGAACAATGAAAAGGTTGCTCCGGTGCAAAAGCCCCTTATGGCATCACTGCGACAACCCCCTTTTAGAACCTTTATTTTTAAGAGTGTGCTCTTCTGCCTGACCTTTTGAAGCCAGTGGCACATTTGGCTTTAACGTATCCAAGAGAGCACACATTACACCTGTCTTTGTTTCACTTCACTGGCAGCCAGTCACTGGCTACATCAAGTTTAAGACAATGACATACAGACCAGTCACTGGATCTGCTTTTCTATCACCACTTTACAAATCAGCTTTCCCTCCAAAAAAGTCCTTCCAAAATCACACTCCATAAAGCATTAGTGGATTAAATATTCAAATCTGCTCTGATTGGCTGTGATTTTATGTGTTATGTAGTATTTTCCTTTTCAGTGTGGACTGACAAATTACCTATCAATTTTACACCTGTCGCATTAACGCCTGGCTAGGACAGAAAATTTGTCAAACCTGATTTTCATTTTACCGTTTTAAAATCGAAAATAAAATTATACCTGGTTAATAAAGGACTAATTTATCACAAACGTGACTGTATGAATTACATTCTTAGTCATTAAATCTGACTGAGATTTACATTGGGGAATATGTGAGCTATATGGTGTGAAAACACACCAGTCCGCGTGATTATTTCTTACAGAAATTGGAAAGTTTCTGTAATCTTGTGGTGGTGTCTCAGAGTTTTTTTGTTAATCCATCCATGAGCCACAGGCGGTTTGGCCGCCATGCATGACAGCAAGGCACTTATTTTTACATTAAAAAATAAATACAAAATCCAGACACAAACTATAGACTTCTTTCCCCCCCCCTATGACATTAGCCTGAGTGAAGAAATGGAAAATATTTCACTTCTTATATGAATGGTGGTTCAGTGCTGCATGTCTTAACATATGTGTTCTCAACCTTTCTAGATGACAACCTACGATTAGCATGTCTGATGTAGCTTTGTTTTATGATGTTTTCCCTATTTACTTCTACCTTTAAAGTCCTTATGACTTTTTGTCTTCACTCTCTATATAAGAATCATTCTACCAACTACTGTAAGTGATGTATAGTGTTTCAAGTCTATACACTGCCTGTCAATCATTAGCACTGATATTCACTCTCTTTAATTGCTGCCCTGAGGTACATCTCACAATAGCACAGCAAATCATGAATCAAGAACACTAACTATCTTTTTCGGGGGTTTATTTATGTTAATGTGCTGCTCGTTAATGGTGAATAATTGTATAGTATAGAAGTTAGGGAATGCAAAATAGTCTGGTCTCACTCCATACAATATATACAATATAGTCGAACACTATACATGCTGTAAATGCACAGAACAACACAAAAGGCCACACGAGAGGCACGCACTTTTAAAATACTGTTGACTGCAAATTCTGAGCATCTGACTGCATTTCTACAAACAGACTGTGAATCATAGGAATGATACAGACTGATGGGAAATTCATGTGATTTTGGTATGACACACCATCATCCTACTCTGTACAAAAACTGTACAATGTTCTTCTAGCTTTTTATGTGAAAAACACATATGGAACACATAAATTTCACCTAAATGTCAACGTGATAAACTATTATTTAAGACTTAGAACTTATTTATTATATATTAGTTTCAACTGAAATTGGTAACACAAAAATAAGAACCTAGATGAAAATCAGAGTGGTTTTATTTGTACATCTGTCTCTCAACCACCAACCCACAAACTCACACGCACACACACACACACACACACACATATTTTAAAGAGTTAACATTGGCTTGTAACATGATAATAATAACATACATGGCTGAATGGCTATTCGGTACTATTCATTCTAATGTTTATTTACATGCTGCTGTCATTCAGTGCAGATATATGAGTAATTCAGTTATTGACTGATTATCTTTTTATTAACTCATTTCCTCAACAAGTCATACAATTTGAGGTGATCAATCATGTTCGTAGCACAAAGGGATTTTGAATCCCTAACCTTAAGTGTGCACAAAATTAAAAGTAATAATGCCCAGCAAACATGACTAAATTTAGACTTTTAATATTTGTGATTTTGTGACACACTGTTCTCTACTAAAGTTTGAACTGATTACACACATAACACTTCATTCTGCTTTACAGCCAGAGGCATTCAACCCCTGAGTTGAAGCCATTAAATATTTATTTGCCCTGTTTTACGATATAATAACAGTGAAAGTGGACATTGAGTCTTTCCATTGTAAATGCATAATATTTTATTGATAATAAGCATGACAACATTATATCTAGGATCCTAAGCGCAATACAGGATGCGTTTTATTTTTTCTGCTTGTCATGCCTGGTGGTGAATGTTTGCATTGCCATATAAACCACAGGAAGAGTGGGAGCACAAGGTGGGACAGCAGCGGTAAACCTCATGACATCACAAGCTTCACTGCCATTGGCTGTTTCCAGAGGGAACATGGTTTAAAAAGCCAACCAGCAGCCATCTCTCACTAGCATCAAAACATAGCAAGACCTCATCTGATAAACGGGACCTCAGTCAATCCTCCGACTTTGTCAAAGAGCTTCTCAAAGAGAAAGAGGTAAGTCACAACAATTAATTTGTATTTTTAGGATGTAAAGGTTAAAAAACAATTGTCGTCAAAGGTTTTATAGTAAGTATGCAGATGTTGGAAGAAGCTTTGAGTAACTGGAATGCCTTTACTTGCTTGTAGTCTGCAATTTTTTAGGTTCGTCAGGCGTTTATCTGTATTTACAGCACATGTAGGAGTAGTAGTGGCTTGAGATCAGCTACAGCCTATTTGAACCTTTAATCATGACAAATATTTCATACATCAAATGCAGTTCTTGCAAAAGAAGCATCAAAGTTCAGAAAATGCAGTTCTTGTTCAGCCTCAGTGTAAATTCAAGACTGATGTTATGAAGACTTTTAATGATTCCAACCACAGTTTATTATAGGAAGACATGATTAACATGAACTTGACAGATGAAAGAGGAAGTTGCGGCTATGGCACATAAAGGCCTTACTAATTTGTCAACTGACTCATTTATTCCAGCGACACAACCACTAAATTAAAGTTCCATACAAAAGAATAATAATACTGGCTGACTGACAGATGCCACCATTACTTCTGCCTGCAGCCCCAACAAAACACTTCCACACTTAGTGTTCTGCGCTGCACTTCACATTTCCTTTGACGCCACAAATTTTAGGCCTTGGCTCACAACATTGAAGATTCTAATGAGAAAGTAAGTCTGGAGCCAGAGGCGTGCTATTTCTTGGGATTGTGGCTGCTACATAGTCTACATATAACTTCTGGAATTATACACCAGAGGAGATCATTATAGGTATGGCTAAACACACAATACCTCAACTTGTACTTTATGCAATGTAGTTGTAGCTGAAAACAAACGAGATGTTTCATGGTGAGGACTGGCAGGAAGTCTTTTGGCATTTGCCAACATGTTTCAGAGCGCCCTTAAAAGGCATGCTTCCTTCTGAGTCGGTAAATGCGTAAATACCAAAAATACCCACTTGAGGCATTTTATAGAACATTAAAGTAAAATAGCACAGGCAATCCTCTCTGTAAAAATGGTCTTATTGCCATGCATTAGCTGGTGTAGGCTGCATCAGCCTTACATTTATAAGGTCAAAATTGATGTTCTTTATAACTGTGACTCACCTTTGAAGATCTTTTTATTTTTCTTCTCTCTCTCTCTCTCTTTTTTTAATGCATCCTAATGTTGGAGATGTTAGAAAGTGGAAAGGAAGTTGCACAGGTTTGGATAAATGCAAGGGTGAATAAATGATGGGTGAAACTGGGTGAACTTTTCCTTTAATCTCAAAATACAGATATAAACGGGCACCTATGAGCTATTTAAATTCAAGGACGTGGTAATTGTCACGTACATGAGCAATACAGTGAGTATTGTTGTATTTATGCCAAGGCATTTGGTTGTGTTTCAGACCACGCCAGCTGAATCCAATGAAAGCACAGACAGTTCAGATGACAGTGAGGTAAATTAAAACTCATCCTCTCACCACATCACACATCACTGCACTCCCACTATAGTCAATAAAAGACAACAGGATCTAAAAAATACCCTTCCGCTGGTCTAGACGCACTGTAAGTGACCCTGCTGTGAGTCTCAATACTGTTTATTGCATTTGCAGGATGCAGATGAGGAATCTGAAACAGATGAGAGGGAAGATGAGAATGTGAGTCACTCTGATTATGCTAAAATACTTATGTTTTCTGACATGTAGAACCATTGTGCCCAGTTGCCAAACAATGGACATAAAATCAATGCTGGTATAAAACCCAGCATTGATATAAGGCATCAAGTGGCGGACTTTCTGTAGCTTAAACAATAGAGCATGTTTGCTAGCAACACCAAGGTCATGGGTTCAATTCCCATTGAAAGAAAGAACTCATAAAATGCATTCCTTGAATGCAATATTAGATGATTTATCCTATCCACACACAAAACTGCAGCAGGATTTGACACAGTCACTGTTACGGGGCTGACGAGACATGAGACGTGCGGATCCAAATGCAAGCCTTTATTCATAGACATGGTTAGAGACAGGCAAGGGTCAGATAATGGCAACGGGTATATAGAGGGCAAGACACAAGAATATTCCTAGGGCTAGCGTGGGTCTACGAATCATTATAGGTATGGCTAAACACACAATACCTCAACTTGTACTTTATGCAATGTAGTTGTAGCTGAAAACAAACGAGATGTTTCATGGTGAGGACTGGCAGGAAGTCTTTTGGCATTTGCCAACATGTTTCAGAGCACCCTCAAAAGGCATGCTTCCTTCCGAGTCGATAAATGCATAAATACAAAAAATACCCACTTGAGGCATTTTATAGAACATTAAAGTAAAATAGCACAGGCAATCCTCTCTGTAAAAATGGTCTTATTGCCACGCATTAGCTGGTGTAGGCTGCATCAGCCTAACATTTATAAGGTCAAAATTGATGTTCTTTATAACTGTGGCTCACCTTTGAAGATCTTTTTATTATTCTTCTCTCGTATGCAGATGTTGGAAGAAGCTTTGAGTAACTCATGGAATGTATTTACTTGATTGTAGTCTGCAGTTTTTTAGGTTCGTCAGGCGTTTATCTGCACAAGTAGGAGTAGTAGTGGCTTGAGATCATGTAGCTACAGCCTATTTTAACCTTTAATCATGACAAATAATTCATACATCAAATGCAGTTCTTGCAGAATAAGCGTCAAAGTTCTAAAAATGCAGTCAATGTAAGTACAAGACTGATGTTATGAAGGCTTTTAATGATTCTGACCACAGTTTATTATAGGCAGAGATGATTAACATGAACTTGACAGACGAAAGAGGAAGTTGCGGCTATGGCACATAAAGGCCTTACTAATTTGTCAACTGACTCATTTATTCCAGCGACACAACCACTAAATTAAAGTTCCATACAAAAGAATAATAATACTGGCTGACTGACAGATGCCACCATTCCTTTTGCCTGCAGCCCCAACAAATTTGCGCTGCACTTTCCTTTGATGCCACAAATTTTAGGCCTTGGCTCGCAACATTGAAGATTCTAATGAGAAACTAAGTCTGGAGCCAGAGGCGTGCTATTTCTTGGGATTGTGGCTGCTACATAGTCTGCATATAACTTCTGGAATTATACACCAGAGGAGTTCATTATAGGTATAGCTAAACACGCACTACCTCAACTTATACTTTATGCAATGGAGTTGTAGCTGAAAACAAACGAGATGTTTCATGGTGAGGACTGGCAGGAAGTCTTTTGGCATTTGCCAACATGTTTCAGAGCGCCCTTAAAAGGCATGCTTCCTTCTGAGTCGGTAAATGCGTAAATACCAAAAATACCCACTTGAGGCATTTTATAGTTAGAACATTAAAGCAGAACAGCACAGGCAATCCTCTCTGTAAAACATTTCTTGTAGCTGGTGTAGGCTGCATCAGAGCTGATGCTCTCTATAACTGTGGATCAGCTCTGAAGAGCTTTTTATTTTTCTTCTTTTTTTAGAGTATTTTGCACAAAAATGAAGACTGTTATCGTTTTAACGCTCCTCATCGCCACAGTCTTCTGTCTGCCTGTAAGTTCACTGTCATTATAACCGTAAAAATATGGGCTTTAAAGTTTTACACTACCATTTTTTGTCTCCTTGTACACTCACATATATATTTTTCATTTCTCAGGTGAAGCGCTCAGCTAGCAGTTCAGAGAGCTCAGAAGAACTTGTGGTTGTTCAACGGGCAAGTATCTTGTTTGATATGGACAGAATGGACGCTGCTTTGAAATGAATACAGTGCAGAAAACAATACTGCGATTTTAATAAAACATCTGTCTTATACAGCCATCTCCTATTCTGCAAAAAGCTGCTGCTGTTATGTTCAAGGCAGAACCCACACAGGTAAAACAAATTAATAGTTCACTCCAGATATGAAAATTCTATCAATATATATATATATATATTCATTATAATGAAGACTGGGCTGTTAGGCTGCAAAATGAGGAACAAATAGAAATGATAGTCATTATTTACAAAAAATCTTGACATCTGCCCGAGTTCACTTGGCTGTGTATGAGATTTCATGACAGAAGTAGCAAATTGTCTAAATGATTCGTTCATGAATGGGCTTATTTTTGAACTGTTCTCAAGGTGAACCACTTTTATTAATAATTTTACGGTACTTTTCAATGTCATTGCATGGAAAAGATCAACCAGTACATATTTAAAAACTATCCTTTTGTATTCCACTAAACACAGTGACTGACAACATATTTGATATTTAACATACAATTACAAGAAGCAGGATTTTGGACCAGTGAGATTTCACAATGTGCTACCCAGCTTCATGCCGAAGCAATCGAATCGACCATGCTAGCAGTAAAGCTACAGAATGTTATATTGTCAATTATATCACTCATTAACATATATTGTCCACTTAGGATACTGATACCAGTGAGAGTGAATCTGGAGAATCTGCGATCACCGTTGTCCCCTCCACAGTAGAACCCTCACTGGACCCCATCATCAACACAGGCCGGGGAGACAGCATGGGCTACCCTAGCGACTACAAAAAAAACATTGTCTACGTGGATGCAAACAACTTTGAAAAATTACCTTCCCCATACAAGTCCTACAGCAGTGACAAGTTGGGTGGCTTGACATTTGTGAGCAAGAAGTCCTCTGACCAGAGCATCAATGATGTGGAGAAAGAGATTAAACTGTACAAGGTAAATAGTAAGGTTACTTTATGTTTGTGAAGGTTGACAAGTAATAGAATAGGATAGGAAAACATGCATGTATAGCAAATGTTAAGAGCACTTACAGTACAAGAAAGTACTGTGGCAGAACCTTGGTATTATGGTATTATATTATGTGGGCAATCATGGCCTAATGGTTAGAGAGTCGGACATATTCCGAGTATGGGTCACCATACTTGGCCACACGTCACGTCCTTTCCTGTAATTGGGGCAAGTGTTCGGTTGTGACTAAGTAGTAGGGATGTAACAATTAACTGCGAGCCGGTTGAAAATCGATTCAAATATGCGACGATTCAAATCGGTTGAGATGCTAAACAAATCGCGATTCAGTTAGGGGTAGGAGGTTATATGAATGTATGTCTGAGGGGAACTTACTGTCTTTAGAAAAGTTTAGATGGTATTTTTTCTTTTCATCTTGCCTCTGTATAATGCATATTAAAGTAAGTGCAGCGCTGCTTTGTTTTTGCAGCGGAAACCAAGGAAACGCTTTAAGCGCCACCTGCTGGCAGAGAGTGAATCTGCGTCTCATTTGTAAAATGTATTTATTAGGGATGTAACGATTAACTGCGAGCCGGTTGAAAATCGATTCAAATGTGTGACGATTCAAATCGGTTGAAATGCTAAAGAAATTGCGATTAATTTAGGGGTAGGAGTTTATATGAATGTATGTCTGAGGGGAACTTACTGTCTTTAGAAAAGTTTAGATGGTATTTTTTCTTTTCATCTTGCCTCTGTATAATGCATATTAAAGTTCATAAGTGCAGCGCTGCTTTGTTTACAGCGGAAACCAAGAAAACGCTTTAAGCGCCGCCTGCTGGCAGAGAGTGAATCTGCATCTCATTCAGCTCATCTGCTGTTTCTGTTTCATGCAGATATTTTTTTATGCATAGTTTCACAAAACTGAAGTCAACACATTCTGTTTTTGCTTCAGAAATTTTGCTTGGAAATTATATAATGTAATTTAGATTAAAAACTGTTCGTGTTGTATGTATGCAGCATCTTTGTTTGGATCATGATTAAAATGCAGTGGTTGCCACTAATTTTAAATGGAAAGCACAGACAAAGCCTGATTTTGTTCATATGAAGAGATTTCTTTTATTTGTGTTACTTATTTATTTGATTTGGGGCTTGTTTTAAAATTTCAATTTAGTTTTGTTATTTACATTTACATTACATTTACATTTTGTTATTTAGGAGACGCTTTTATCCAAAGCAACTTACAAATGAGGACAATAGAAGCAATCAAAACCAACAAAAGAGCAATAATATGCAAGTGCTATATTAGTATATTATTATAGTGTTATATTTCAATTTCACAAAGAAATGTGCAGCATTTTGTCCAAGCAATAATAAAAGGACACATTTAATTTATAATTTGTCTTAAATCTAATTTTGTAAAAAAAAAAAAGTGAATCGAATCGAATCGTGAAATCAAAATCGTGAATCGAACCGAATCGTGAGTTGAGTGAATGTTACATCCCTACTAAGTAGCGATGCTACTAACTTTACTAAGCGTGCCAGAAGTTTGGCTATGTTCATAATAGTGTAGTTTTTCCAGTAAAAAGCTTTATTTAGCAAACAAACGCGAAGCTGTTTTTGAGAAAATAATCAAACGCATTTACCTCAATGGTTCTCTCTCTCTCTCTCTCTCTCTCTCTCACTCCTCCTCTCTCTCGTATAGCTTAGGAATGTTCGAATCAATTTAGTGAATCGATTCATCTTAAACGGTTCTTTCTCATACTGTACAGTATGTAGAATTTAGCAATGGACGGTCCGATTTGTTCTTGGGAATCGATTCACCCTAAACAGTTCTCTTTGTTATGTAGTATTGGAAAATCCAGTTTATTCTAGTGAATCGATTCACTCGGAAGATTCATTAAATGAACATGTTCACAAAAATGATTCACCAATTCGACTCCCTGTTCTACAGCATGTTACTCTTGTTTTTGACTCGGTAGCTTGATACTTTGTCATCCTAAGTGAGACTGTTCATTCACTGAAAAACCGTCATTGTTGTAGAATAAGCAAAAATATGGCTTTGATTTTTTTTAAATATAAAAACATATTGACCTTCTAAGTAACTGGTAAGTAATTTTTTTATTATTATTTCTATTTTTTTTGCTTAGTTTTTTTAAGCTTGATTGTATTTTTTTTTTAATTATAACAATTAAAAAATTACACTTTCAAAGTAGCTTCCCCAACAATGATTACAGGTTTATAATAAACCTGAATGATACCTCAAAATCAAATTAATAAATGATTGATATAATAAAACCAGAATCACTGTAGCTGAGACGTTCTTTTGTTTCTCAGGCTCTGCAGGTGCATGATACTCTTCTGGAGGAGGAGGACACCAGCACCCCAGAGGTGCAGAACATGGAGCCAAACGACCGCCAGGCTGCTCTGGGAAGCCAAGATATCGTTCCCACCGGAAACCAGGATGCTACAGCAGAGTCAGACAGCGAGGGGGCAAGTGCTGGCGACACTCCCAATGACAGCGTGAGCGCCAGTGCCAGCCAGGAGCAAAATGAAGAGGAGTCAGATAGCAGCCCGAGCAGCGAGGAGACCACAGCCACACCTGGACCTGCAGACAGCGAGGACGACTCCTCACAGAGCACAGAGAGCCAGGAGAGCGATTCGGATGAGGAGACCACCCAGACCACCGACGCTACCGTTATCATAGCAAAGTAAACACGTCCAAGCACAAACCCTCAACGGGCTGTCGACAGAAACGAATGCAAATGTATTAATTGTATGGTGCTTGGTGACTCACTCCACCTGATGTTAGTGTGAGTTAGACAAACGGCAGAGCACAAAGATACGGTTCATACAAGTTCTTGAACTGCTGCCTAATCTGTTAAGATGCAGTTTCATCTCAACAATGGCTTCCTGTTCATTGCACAATTATTTACAATATTAATGTAAATGTAATTTTATACTGCTCTATGTATGTAATGATTGATCATTCATAAATAAATTTTGTCCTATATCCGTTATATAGTTATATATAACGACTATACATTATATATAACGTTATATATCCGACTATAGTACATCGAAAATACACAAGACGCAATGTCCAAATATTACCAAAGCTGAATTACAGATAAAACTCCAGAAAACCATTCACATTGTCAGTCTGACTGCTGTAAAAGTGCAATTTCATACCATTTTTAGCTCAAGCAAAAAAAAAAATAGATTTGCAGTATATATAAAAAAAAATAAAAAAAAACACACTACCAACCTAAACTGATTTGCTGGTTTAAAGGGTTACTCCACCCCAAAGTGAACATTTTGTCATTAATCACTTACCCTCATGTCGTTCCAAACCCGTAAAAGCTTCGTTGTCTTCGGAACAAAGTTTAAGATATTTTGGATGAAAACCAGGAGGCTTGTGACTGTCCCACCCACTGCATAGTAAATTACACTGTCAAGGTCCAGAAAAGTATGAAAGACATCGTCAGAATAGTCCATCTGTCATCAGTGGTTCAGTCTGAATTTTATGAAGCGACGAAAATACTTTTTGTACGCAAAGAAAACAAAAATAACGACTTTATTCAACAATTCGTCTCCTCCGCGTCACCCTAGCGCCATTTTTGAGAATATCCACTGAACGCAAACGGCGTATGCTGTTCTGTGTCAGCCGCACCACACAGATATGCTGTTTTCGTTCAAATCAAAGCGTAAATAAACGTAGAAAACGTATCCGTGTGGTGCGGCTGACACAGACAAGTAGAACAGTATACGCTGGGACAGTCACAAGCCTCCCGAAACTGTGTTCCGAAGACGAACAAAGCTTTTGCGGGTTTGGAACGACATGGGGTAAGTGATTAATGACAAAATTTTCATTTTGGGGTGGAGTAACCCTTTAAGTTAGTCTCCCTGATATGTTGAGTGATTTTAGAGGGGTTTTGGCCACTTTTCAGATGGTCACCAGCAAACAAGCTTGTTTAAGGCTGGCTGTTTTCTGGATTTTTGTGTTTTTATTAATATAATATTCAACACTTTCTCATCTAGACCAGTAAGAAACCTTATAGCAATGACCCAGAACTCCCTAAATCACATATAAACGGTAACCACTTTTGTAGAATTTAATGTGATAAATAATAGAAAGTAACAATAAAAAAAAAAACCTTACTAGTTAGAGCAAAGCAAGTGTCTAAATTACAAGACTTACCTTTAGATACAGTAAGTGTCAAAACCCTTTTGATTTCTAAAAGCAAACATTCTTATCACACAGCTGTGTTTTTTTTTTTTTTGCCAATGTCTTGATTGTGCAGGGTCCAGACAAATATTTGTCAAACTTTGAAGTTTGAAGGAGTCTCTAGTGCTCTGTAATTAGTCTGCTCAGTGTGCGCAGATAGTCTGGGACATTTCTTACAAAAATAAATACACTAAATAAAATGTCTAATTCTTTACCACAAATAGCATTGGTGTTGACAAAGTAACAGCATGGTGCACATTACTTCTGCTTCACTACTGTGATGCTCTTCTCAAAGTACTGTAAGTTTAATTACGTCTGGTAATCACAGAGCTATCAAATCAAACCAAACTACTGTGTTCCTCCACCGTCTAGTAATGTTTAGCAGACGCTTTTCATATATAATTAACCTAACAACAAAAACACTAAATATTATTATTTGAGTATGAGCAGGGCCGTATGGGGTTTAAAAATTACCGAGGTCCCAAATCCGCCCCCCACCCCACCCCATGAAAAAATTTATATCAAATTACAATTAGAATTCCGAATATTCGTCTAATTTAATATAAAAATCCACATTCAAATGCAAAAACTGTATTCGAATTCACTGCACCCTCTTGTAGCCACAGGAGACAAAAGCTCCCCAACTGACTTTTACATTTGAATATAACTCGAATACTATTAATAATATTTAAGTATAAAATTCTTATTTCATTTTTCAGCCATTTTGACAGCCCTAATTTTTGCATTTTAAGAGGAAATAATTGAAGGCCAAACATTTGGATAACAATTTTAAAAAATTGTCAATACCAGCTCTCTGCTTTGATTGATAGTATTTTCATTTTCGTCTTTGTCAGTGAACAAAGTAAACAAATTGGCGACTGATATGTTTTATGAATCATTTTATTAAACAAGTTACTTTAATGAAGGCTACCAGGAAAGCTACGTAATTAAGTTTAATAAATTCACAGTATGTGCCCATTCATTATTAAGGCCCATTCACACCAAGGACGATAACTATAAAGATATGTGACCCTGGTCTTAAGTCGCTGGGGTATATTTGTAGCAATAGCCAAAAATACATTGTATGGGTCAAAATTATAGATTTTTCTTTTATGCCAAAAATCATTAGGACATTAAGTAAAGATCATGTTCCATGAAGGCACCCTCAGATTCCAGATATTCAAATAGTTGTATCTGACCAAATATTGTCCTATCCTAACAAACCATACATCAATGGAAAGCTTATTTATTCAGCTTTCAGATTATGTATAAATCTCAGTTTTGAAAAATTTACACTTAAGACTGGTTTTGTGGTCCATATAGTTCTAAAAATCGTTCTCAATATTAAAGAATAGCAGAGTCCACACCACAACTATAACGATAAATACAAAGAGAAATGATATCGTTGGAATCACTTTCAAAATGATTTTTTTCCAGCTGATGAACGATAAAACAAGTTGACAGCCAATCAGAATCCATCCTGTTGTAACGAGCTCCAGAATTTAAAGCGGCAGACGAGCGTGGCTTAGAATAAACAGACGATATCGTTTGCTGGTGTGGACGCTAATATCGTTATCTTTATAGTTATCGTTCTTGGTGTGAATGGGGTTTAAATCATATGCAGGGCCGGATTTAGCATAGGCATTCTAGGCACGTGCCTATGTTCGCTTGTCCAGGGGGGCCCAAACACAATGAAGAGATATATAATATTTTTGTTATACTATGGGCTATCTACAACAGTAAAAGAACCAAAACCCCAGAAGACATTGAGCAAATAAATATAACAAACAATAGGGTAAAAAATGACAAACTATTTCCATGTTTTCCACCGTTTTTATGAAGGCTACGAATTTATCAATAAAATAGTTTCGCAGCTGAAAAGCTACATGACATTTCTCAGTTGCGAGGTTCTTGAAGCAGTTTAACTTAAAGATTCGCTGTTAGTAGACGCTGCTGCTGAGAGACGCACAGACGCACGTATTCACTCGCACTTAATCTCTCTCTCTCCCTCTCTCTCTTTCGCTCTCTCTCTTTAATAACCGCATTAGACTGCATTAATAACTGCGTTAGCCTGCATATCAATGGCGCAAGCCTCCGTTATTAGCTCTAAAATGACGTTTTGAAATTTGCAACGGAAGGTTTGGGATGAGGTGTGTAAAAAATTAGTTAAACACACGAGATTTCAGGACGGAAACATGTCAAATGTCTTGAAACAATCATCTGAACAGTCTTGATGTGTGGTTGTGACTCCAGGCCGTTAAAATTATTAGAGAAATGCACTCCCGAAGTGGTTATGTGGCCACGTCGCCGCGCCTATTAATGGAATGGTCTTTCTCAGTTCTCAAACAAATTAAGAACTACATTCGATTTTTATTGACTGAACGCAAGCGCTTATTGTGATAGAAAACACTGTAACGGTTTGCACTGATTAAGAAACATTTTTGTTTGCTTGGGTGGTAATATTAGGCCTAACATATTAATAGGGAAGGGGGGCCCAAATTTTTTTTTGCCTATGTCACGAAAAGAGGTAAATATGGCCCTGATCATATGCCTAATATATGATGAAAACGGCTTCGTTAATATTGTTTCTTGTCCCCTCACATTGACAGTTACGAATCACATTACATGAATCACAACCATTCAAAATGGCGAAATTAGACAAGTTTGTTAGTTTGCACTCCTGATTATTTTTGTCAGTTTCTATCATTTCTATCGTAAAACTATGGAAGCCCATTTCCGCCACTGAATAAAAAATAAAAAAGGTAATTACTACTTTTTATCTTGCAGAATTGCATGATATAAACTCGCAATTGCGAGTTAAACAGTCATAATTGTGAGATATAAACTCGCAGTTCTGAGAAATAAAGTCAGAATTGCGTGATATAAAAGTTGCAATTGCGAGACATAAAGTCGCAATTTTGAGAAATAAAGTCAGAACTACGAAATATAAACTCACAATTCTGACTTTATTTCTCAGAATTGCGAGTTTATATCTCGGAAATTCTGACTTTATAACTCGCAATTGTGACTTTATATCTCGCAATTCTGAGTTTATATCTCACAATTCTGTGAAAAAAGTCTGAATTGAGAGATAAAAAGTCGCAATAACCTTTTTTTTATTCAGTGGCGGAAACGGGCTTCCATATGAAACAGCTGTCAGATACTATGAAATGTTTGGCTACTCACATCTTATCCCGCACTTTATAGCCGCTAACTGAAGCATTGCGTTGAAATTCGTGCTACACAGCTTCTGTGAACATGTAGCCCGCCTACTTTGATTTGATTGGTCATCTCAGATATTTTTGACATTGACGAGCGGTGACTGTCACCTTGTCAGAGGCAGCTTAAATGAGGAGGTTTAAGTTTAAAGTACGCATGAAATAAAAAATTAGGGTTGCAAAGGGGTGGAAACTTTCCATGGGAACTTCGTCTGGGGAATTTTGGAAATATTCCAAGTTTTTTTATGTTTTAAGTTCATTTATGGGGAAGTCGTGGCCTAATGGTTAGAGGTTCGGGTTCGAGTCTCGTAGGGATTGTAGGTGGGGGGAGTGAATCTTCTACCTTCAATACCACGACCTTGAGCAAGGCACCGAACCCCCAACTGCTCCCCGGGCGCTACAGCATAAATGGCCGCCCACTGCTCCGGGTGTGTGTTCACGGTGTGTGTGTGTTCACTGCTGTGTGTGTGTGCACTTTGGATGGGTTAAATGCAGAGCACTAATTCCAAGTATGGGTCACCATACTTGGCCGCATGTCACGTCAAATTTTTTTTTTTTGGGGGGG